GAAAAAAAAAAAAAAAAATCATTTTGATCCAGATAATTGTTTCTCAGCTAAAGCTTTAACCTTTGTTCTTTTTGAAAAGGAGGGGGTTAAGAGACAAATTTTAGAAAGAGGACTCTCATTTGTTTCTGGTCCTGAATTGTCTCAGCTGTTTTGGATCCACCGCAGCCTTGATGATGGTCACTCTTACCGGTGTGGGCTTTTTGCCTCCTTTTACTCTGTCGATAGTCTAGATGGCCTTTGGGTCTTGGCAGGCCTCGCTGCTGTTTGTGACTGTTCCTTTTGGGCTTCTGGTAGGCCGGAAGGCTTTATGCAGAAAGCCTCTCTGCCTTCTCATTGTTGCTGTGAGTTGGGCAGCTAAGGATGCCCAGCCAATCACAACTGCAAACATACTTTGCCATATTGTCTGCGGCTATTCAGAAGATACGTGAAAAGAAAATACATTTCTTCTGTTTGAAGGATCACTGCACCCTTTCTCACCAAAGTGGGGATAGTTTAGCAACCCTAGAAGATAAACTGCAACTTCCCACTGAGAAAGTTGCATTTGATCCTATGTGACTATTTTCCTTTAAAATTCATGGGCAAATTAGTGGTTCCTAACATTCCCTCTTTTTTTATAATGATGAAACAGCTCACCCATTTATAGTTTTAGAAGTCACTTTCCTCGTTTAACCCTAACAGCACACTAAGTAAGATTAAATATCATTATGCCTGTTTCACAGCTGAGATACTGAGGCATGGGAAGAATTCAGGGATTTGCATAAGATCACAAAGCTGAGAAGTCACGCTCTGGACACTTGCGTCAGGATGCAAGAAATGGAAATTAGTGTTTCATCAGCGCTGCTGCATTGTCCGTGCCCAGAGCAGCGTCTGGCGTGGTGTAGAACTCAGTAAGCACTTGCTGAGTAAATGGATGGACTTTTCTTTTCAGGCTTGTATTGATGAAAATGTGGACATGGTGAAGTTTCTGGTGGAGAACGGAGCCAGTGTGAACCAGCAGGACAGCGAGGGCTGGACGCCCCTCCACGCAGCAGCGTCCTGTGGCCACCTCAACATCGCGGAGTGAGTGTCTGTGCCGGTGGGGCGCTTGTGGGACAGCCTTCGTTCCTCTTCCACTCTGAAGGATTTGAATTTCATAAATAGTAGTAATTTCTCTTTACCGCAAATTATAAAAGCAGGAAATAGAATTATTTTTAAGGAATAATTGATGCTGTGTTTTACATAGCTGCTAAATCTGTAGTTTTTTTAGTTGAAATTTTGTGTTTGCTTCTATTTTCAGGTAATTCATATTTGTTGGGATATGCAGAGGTGGCTTCTGTCTGTTGCACCGTCTGGGTTGACTTTTTTTTTTTTTTGCGGTACGCGGGCCTCTCACTGCCGTGGCCTCTCCCGTTGCGGAGCGCAGGCTCCGGACGCGCAGGCTCAGTGGCCATGGCTCACGGGCGCAGCCGCTCCGCGGCATGTGGGATCTTCCCGGACTGGGGTACGTACCCGCGTCCCCTGCATCGGCAGGCGGACTCTCAACCACTGTGCCACCAGGGAAGCCCTGGGTTGACTTTTTGAGCAACTATAGCTGGACACATGTGGGCAGGCCTGGAGAATTTTTCTGGACTTTTTTGTAAACCTGTTATATTGTTTTCTTTTTAAAAAAGCAATGCTTAATACAAATGAAGGTGGAGAATGCCTGGCTGCTGGTCACAGAATTCACGTAGGTAATAGCAGAAGAGTGAGAGACAAGCGTCTGAGCAAAGGAAGGGTGGGAGGGGCACGCACACCCCCCCACCCCCAGCCCAGCCCTCATTGAGACCAGCCTCCAGCACAGCCGGGGCCCCTCCCTGGGCAGAAGAATCCCAACCACATAGTGTCTGGGCTGGAAGGGGCACTAAGTAGATGTCTGTTGAATGAAGGAGTGGTCAGGGAGGCTATTTTTAAATAGAAAGAGACGTTGGCACTTAAAACATCTTTAAAATGAGGCAGTTGAGTGTATTCTACATGAGAGTAAGTGTAGATTGCTAAGGCAAGTTCTCTAAATAAAATCATGATATGCTGTGGTCCTTTGAAGATGCAGTTGCTTGTCTTAAGGCCACTTTCAGTAGGATTAGAGCTCCGTTACATTTCATCTGTTCAGCAAACAGCTCTGCAGAGGCCTGGGAATGGCCTCCCACAGAAACTACTTTGCCCGGGTGTCCTGGGGGAGGGTGCCCAGTGGGGGAAGTCAGACAACGGCAGGGTCAGAGGCAGAGAAAGATCAGGCCGAAGCACTGGTGTTGACTGGGCTTCTTGTTCTAAAAAGCGGGTGGCTGGCCTGGCCCCACCGCCAGCAGGAGTCAGCAGCGCGGTTTTATCCTGTCTCCGTTCTGGTTCCGTGAATCAGTCGCCTCCTCTCGCCGGGCTGCCCCTTCGCAGGGTCTCACGGGAGGGCTCTGATTCTCAGCCTAACCCATTCACCAACGTTCCGATGCTGAGGAGTTAAGGTGGCTTCCTCAGAGGTTTCCATTTTCACTTGAAAACTGTATCTAAGAAACCTTTATAGAACATGTTAGCCCCTCATCATTGATAGTTGGTTATTTGTGCAGGTGGCTTGTTTGTGATTTTGAGCTATCGAATCTCATCAATTCAAGGATTTCACTTTTCTCCATTGGAAGGTAACAGGCAGAGCTCACGCTTGGAATTAGGGCCCCTCGTGTTGGCGTGATCCACGGGGGCTCTTTTTTCTTCCTTTTGTGAAACTGAGTACAGAGGATGATTGTAAATGCTTTTTCACGGTGGTTTCTTTGTCTCATCTTTGTGGATGAACATAGTTCCTTTGGAAATAAGTTCACAATTTAAGTGTCTCTTGCCCAAATAAATACTACCTTGAGTGAAATGAATTGATGAGAGTTACTGTTTCCATACAGGCGATTACTAGTCAGACATGAAAGTCTGGCCAGGAAAGATGAGCTGGACCAGACCCCCTTTGTGGTGGGGTGGTGGGAACGGCCCTCCTTACCTTCTGCTGTGCGTCACCCTTAGACGGTATCCACTTGATCATCTTTACATACTCATCTGTGCAGCAGCATTTTCTGGACAACGAAAGAACCCCGTTGCTTATGCTACTCATTTTGGTTGGCTCACCTCAGGGCCTCTGAACAGTGTTTCAGATACGATTAGCATTTGATCATTTTGTCATTTTTCTTTTTGTATCTTTTTTTTTTTTTGGCGGTACGCGGGCCTCTCGCTGTTGTGGCCTCTCCCGTTGCGGAGCACAGGCTCCGGACGTGCGGGCTCAGCGGCCATGGCTCACGGGCCCAGCCGCTCCGCGGCATGTGGGATCTTCCCGGACCGGGGCACGAACCCGTGTCCCCTGCATCAGCAGGTGGACCCCCAACCACTGAGCCACCAGGGAAGCCCCTGGGGACCCAGGTTTGATCCCTGGTCAGGGAACTAAGATCCCACACGCTGCATGGTGCGGCCAAAGATAAAAAAATAATAATAAATTAAAAAATCGTACCTCATAGGTTGGTATGGATTCTTGTTCAGGTAAAAGTGTGAAGCTAGAGAGGTTTTTCCTGTTTCCTCCTCACCCTTAAAATGGTTTAGGAAGGTAGCCTTACTTAAGAAGAATCTCTTTCTGAACCAGATTACTTTCTAGAAATGAGTCTTCCTGATCATGGGTCTAAGAACTTGTCGGAAAAGGGAAAAGCAGGGGCCTGTATGCCCAAGTGACATTGTGCCTGATCCAGTAAAGAATGGAATGGGTGTCAGAGCAGAGTGGCTAAGATGTTTTATTTATTTCACCTAGTATTTGTGGGTTGCCAAGAGAGGAAAGAGCACGTCAGACCTCATGGCAGTGATAGCCATGAGAAGGGCACAGCTGTTGCCCTGAAGTAGCTTCCAGCCTGGTGGGGCAGCTGCATCAAGACCCGCGTGTGTCACGACAGGAGCGCGGACTTAGTGCTGGGGAGGACTGAGTTCACGGAAGGAGAGGGAATGTGTGGTTGGTGAGAACAGGCAAAGGCATTTTCAGTGGACCTTGAAAGATATGAAACGTTTCTAGCAGGGAAAGGAGAAGGGGAGGGTGTTTCATCAGTTGGGAGAAACTACTCAATCTGTGGGAGAGACCGGGCGACAGTGGGGTGTGTCTGGGTTCAGTGAGGCATCGAGTTTGATTGGAGCAGAGGGTACAGTTCCATCCAGAAAGCATTTATCGAGTGCTTACTGTGTATATTACTTGCATTTTGATTTTTCAGGGTTGGGGAGGTGTAGTTGAACATCCTCTTTGTCCTGAAGGGGAGAAACCAAAAGAGAGGAGCTCTTGATTAGGGAAATGAGGGGCAACAGATGGACAGAGGACCGGGCCTCAGTACAATTAAGAAAACACGTGGAGCAGGTTAGCCTTGGAGGAGAAAGAGTTTGTTTCTGTCTGAGTCTGTGAGGGAAAGATGGAGAAAGCTGAAAATGAGATGAGTTCATATATGTGGAATCAATCTGTAAGTTAAAAACATTTATTGAAGCTCTATTTATACTAGGTACTAGGCAATGAGAAAGCAAAAACGTGGTCTTGATGTAATCTTTGTTGATTCTCCTCTGCCTCCTTGAATACAGTGGCCATGCGTTGATTATCCTCTTAAGATCTTCTACAGTGTCTAAAATGTGGTACCTTTAAACGCAGGAGGGAACCAGTACATGCTTACTGAATTGTTGATTCGTTGAAGTTTAATTTAAACAGTTTTTCTTTCTCCTTTAAATACTTATATTTGATAGAGCTCCCAGCATAATTGGGATTCTCACTGGCCCCAAAGTAACTTGATTTAGTGCCAAGGTGAACTAGACTTGAATTCAAAAGACTGGGGCATAACCTCTGCCATTTGCCCCCTAATAGTACCCACCTTGCCTACTTCATAAAATTGTTTAAGACTCATTATATAATTTTACGTGAAAGTACTTTGAAAATCAAAAAGGATCTATGTAAGGTATTAAAATTGTCAGACCTTTCTTCTTTAGGATCAAGTATTATATTTCAATATAGAATTTAATCATTTAGAATAGAACAATTTGTTTCCTCAGTAATTTAGTTTCTTCTTAGAGTGTAGATTTCATATACCTGGCTGGTTGAAGGGAGAGTTCTATGAAGGCGTAACTTAGGCAGATTGATGAAAATTTTAATTCGTCCTTTATTTTTCTGTTTTCATGCCCCAACACTACTTAATATACTCTTAATGTGGCATTGGGAAAGTTTCTGTGAGAATTACTTCTTTACGTGTCTTCTGGGAACTCTCATTCTCAATATTACAGGTGTAGTAAGTCCTTTTGGGAGCCTGTGTTTGGACCCCAGGGATGGTGGGTGAGCTTTAGGGCTGCATGTCTTCCTTGTGATATTTAGAGAGTCTCTTGCTGTCCACTGGGAATGAGAGGGTGGGGGTTAGGAACATGAGTGTGAAGGAAATCCCGCTTGTAGGCATTGTTCTTACCAAGAAATAGGGAAGCTTTTGATCCTAATTATTGAAGGCTAGTGAAGTTAGAAATTAACAGTGGAATACCTTATCTGGGACCACATTAAAAACTCCAGAACAGAGGCCGTGCTCTGCATTGAACCCCAGGGATAGGAGTGTAAGCTGATGTTAGACTGGAGAGAGAACCTTGATTCTGGATCTTGTCTGCACAGGTATTTCATTAACCATGGAGCCAGCGTGGGTGTTGTGAACAGTGAAGGGGAAGTCCCCTCTGACCTCGCAGAAGAGCCTGCCATGAAGGATCTTCTTCTGCAGCAAGTGAAGAAGCAAGGTAAGCTAGGGGGTAGGTGAGGCTCTGCTGTGCAGGGCCGTGCGCTGTAGTGTGATAGGAAGGTTGGGTCTACCCGCACAGCGTTAGTCATCATTACCCACATCACATACCCTCTTAATACCCACACAAGAATAGGCCAGATGCCAAAAGGAGGGCCAGTCCTTCCTTGTTTTTTCCATTCTGGGGCTGTGTACCCATTGTGCAGTTAGGCGACCTGACTGTTGTTTGATGATGCAGGTTAGACTGAGGAGGGGCATGAGCGTGTCTTACTCTGTGTGCACGGTGTGGACTTTGCTCCACACTGTGAAGTCTAAAGAAGGGATGAGATACAGTGTCCCCTTGAGTACTGGCCAGATTCTGCTATGACTTTGCATCTTTTCTCTTGATGAGAGCTGAAAGGGGTGCTGGTTGAGGTATTTATTGCAACCTCTGAAATGATCTTTAACCATACTAATCATGAAAATTATTTGGGTAGTTTGTCACGGTAAGGAAGCTAACTTAGAAGAATAAACTCTGAAGGAACTTATTTTATATTTTCGGAAGAATCCATTTCAGAGACTAGGTCAGGATTCTGCTACTGGAGGTCTTTGGGTTCTTTTAGTTAAAAAAGTAGCAAATAACGCTCGTTAGTTAGCAGGGAGGACAGGTCTTAGGGCGTTTGCTAGAACCACCACAAAACTCTGTGGACATGGTTTATAGTGATGTGTAGTCTTTCTGTTAAACCACTTTACCCACAATCTGCAGTTGAGTCCAAAAGATTTCTCTCCAGTGACCTTTTCTGACATGATGCTTTAGAACAGTCAGGGCCAGTCCTGGCCATATCCGTTTGCTCACATGTTATCCAAAGCTGCATTTGCACTCCTACAGCAGAGCTGAATAGCTGTGACAGACCAAATGGCCTGCAACGCTGAAAACATTTATTTAACATCTGGCCCTAAATAGAACGTATGCTGACCCCTGCCTTAAAATAATGATGTTCTAGGGCAGAAAATACTTGTATGAATACTGTGTATAGTTTTTGTGTCATATTGAAATGAAGAACTTTATGCCTAATTTACCATCAAGTGCCACTCAGCCTTATCTCCTCAGATTGGTGTTACAATTTACAAGTGACTTCTTAAAAAGGGAAGGAATTTGTACTTTGTACTTGTATTTGTACAAATTTTGTACAAATTTTTGTACAAAGTACAAATTTGTACTTTGTACTTTGTACAAATACTATAATATAAAATAATATTCCCTTTTTTTATGTTCTTAAAACTGAAAACACTGTTAAGTATGGTCCCTTAATGGATCTGCCATCAAGTACTATTTAACCTGGTGATTTAACCCTGATAAAACTACTGATGAGTCTGTAAATGTCATGGCTCTTCTAAATGAAGATAAATCTGAAGACGACCCCACTTGATGACTAACTGCCGTTAGTGGTTGTATTTAGGATGTGTTTTGAATCTAAGGGACCTTTGATGATGCTGGCTCTCTGGATCTGGTTTCTGCAGGGGTCGATCTCGAGCAGTCGAGGAAGGCAGAGGAACAGCAGATGCTGCAGGACGCCCGCCAGTGGCTCAACAGCGGGAAAATACAGGATGTGAGGCAGGCGCGCTCAGGGGCCACTGCCCTCCACGTGGCTGCCGCCAAGGGCTACTATGAGGTCCTCAGGTAACGTCCACGCACGTGGTCTGGGCTGCACAGACCGGGAGAAGAGGAGTTGGTTTGGACGCGGGATGGATTAGGTCTTCAGCTGTGTTGCGTTTCTTTGCTGCTTCCCTCCTGGGCCGCGCAGTCTCTCCTTCTGTGTTTGCTGGTACTCTTCCCCTCCCTCCTCCCGCCACACCGCCCTCTAGCTTCTCCTGACGGGTCTGATGTGAGGCAGAGTTGAGCTGGACTGGCCTAAGGGGACCTTGCGTGGCCGCCTCCAGCTCCACAGTTCATCGTTAGCACCCCTGGCACCTCCCCTTCTGGTGACGCACAGCACAGAGCAGACTCGCCATCCTTTTGGTCCTCTTTGACTCGTTAGATTAATGACACAGGTCTCGAGTGTGCAGCGTCCAGCTGGAGTAGGATGGTCACACGTACACGAGGAATCTGGGCTCTTCTCTGCCTGTTCCCCTTTCCCTTTACATCCTTCCCCGCTTTGTGTGGCTCTGCTCCTGGGCTTGCCCAGTACCTGGGCTGCTGGTGGCACCGCATGTGTCTTGTCACCAGATGCTGTCACTGCCTCGTGTTCCACCCAGTACGAGCTTCCTAGTCTGTGTGGTGAGTGTCGGTGCACCTTTCTGCCTGGCAGCATGTTCACGTGCTCGTTTCTTGGACGGCGTCTGGAGTCCCACGATGTAGGCCGCCTGCGTCCGCCCGGTGCCGCCAGGGCCTCAAGAGTCACGCTGTCCTCCACGCACACAGCTGGGCTGTAGCCTTAGCGTTAGCGAGCGGCCCCTGCACATGCTCCCGTGGAGTCGGAGTTGCGAGCGTGGTGTCCGGGGAAGACCAGCCAGAGAGCTAGTGAGAGAGTGAGAGAATCAGGTGTCCGACAGCCGCTTCCGGCGCTGGAAAGCTGACAGCACTCCCTGACGGAGCTGAGCTAGGCGCTGGCTGGCCTCAGGTGCCTGCGTGGTGGGACATGGGTGTGCCACGGAGCACCGCGGCCTCTGGCCGAGGGTGGTTGAAGCTTACCCGTGGCGGCTCTCAGGCAGTAGCTGGCGCTGAGCTGGGCCGTAGCGGCCGGGTGGCGGCGCAGGGCAGGCCTGAAACGCCAGCTGGGTGGCCGCTGGTGTGGCACAGAGCTCTGCCACCGAGCACGTAATGGCTGGTTTGGGGTTTCTCCTCAGACTTTTGACTCAGGCTGGCTATGAGCTCAATGTCCAGGACCGCGACGGCTGGACCCCGCTCCATGCCGCCGCACACTGGGGGGTGAAGGAGGCGTGCTCCATCCTGGCAGAAGCCCTCTGTGACATGGACGTCAGGAGCAAACTGGTTAGTGAGCGCCACCCTCTAACGGGGCTCGGGAACAAAAGGCTTCAAGTCCCTGCTAAGTGACCAGGCTTGCTGTCCAGGCTTGGGCATCCCTGGTAGCTGTAGTTCTTCTTCCCGCCCCGTTATCCACGCAGACACGTTGGCTTTGTAACATCAAGCTCCACTGAGCCGCTCTGCTGCGTCTGTTTATGCTGAAGCCCCTAAAGCAAACACACAGGAAAAAAAAAAAAAGATTTTTCCCCGTAGCAGAAATGAGCAGTGGGGAAGCCCGAGGCCACTATCTGTGGTGAACTGTGAAATACTTCGGTTTTACTTTTAATTCAAAGACTTAATAGCTGAGCCCTAGTCACATCCAGTTGTTAAAAAACGTTGTAACGATGAGATCCTGCAGTTTGGCTGAAAGTCTTCTTCAGCCGCGCTTGAAGCGATACAGAAGTCCTGCAACTTCTATCCCTACATCTGCTGGTTTTCTAGGAATCCAGAGACATGGCGTTTTACTTCGTAGATGTTCTTATCTACCTCCCATCTCTCCTGACCCAGGGTTCATTCTCACATTATGGGTTAGGGTCCTTAACTGCGCTGTTTCCTAAGAGACAACCCTTCTCTCACTTAAAGGGAGGTGATTCCTGGGACTTAGTCTTTAGTGCACCCGTGCCCTGGACCTCCTTCTGAGGCTTCTAAGAGCCCTTTGTTGAATTTATCATAGCAATCAAGAGCATTTTAGAATAGGTACAAGTAGAGATTTCAGTTGATCATTTGCCAAGAGGCAATAAACATTAGAAATAATGTGGTGATTTCCTCCATACAGCTTTACAAAATATAAAGCCCTGTATTTTAGGGTTTGCTGTTTCTTGTTGTGTTTCCTCTGGGATAGATGAAGGTATTACCACGGTGTCGAGTAGACTAGTCAGTGAAGCAGCTGTCACTGGAGTCAGAGGCATACAGTGGACATCCACTAGTTCTCTGATAAAGTCCCGTGATCGCTGCGTCTGCTTCCGATTGGTCATGGCGCCCCTTTTCTCTGCCAGGGCCAGACACCGTTTGATGTGGCTGACGAGGGCCTCGTGGAGCACCTGGAGATGCTGCAGAAGAAGCAGAGCGTGGTGAGTCTGGGGGGACAGTCCACGCCACAGGCCACACCAGCTGTAGTTTGTCTGCTGAGAGTGGAGTTGGACGTCCCTGCATTCCAGCAATGGCAGTGGTTCCCTCCAGAAATATCCGCAGAGTCTGTTAGAAGAAAATATACCAGAAACTGTTGTTGCTAAAGTTCGCTTGCTATCTCCTCCTTATCTTAGAGCCTTCAAGCAGCTGAAAGGCAAACATGATGGCGACGACGACTCTAGTTACCCTCGAGCTCTAGAAAATGAGCGTGGTGTGTTCAAGTCAGAAGTTTTTGCAAATAGGGGTAGAGGACACCTCATAACTTTTCCTTACTGACTGAAAGGACTTCTTTGTTGAAAGAAAATTGATTACAGGGAGGGATATATTTCTTAAAAAGCAAACAAACCCACAAAAACGAAAACATTTGGCATTGGACAGTGCTTGGTCAGTGCTTCATATTTATTCCGTTCATCAAATATCCAAAATTCAGTCCTCTTCTCCCTCTTCTTCTAGATCTTTGATGGTTTGGTTGTCTGTGCCCTTCTGCTTCGTGCAGCACAGGAGGACCATGTAAGCATGGTACCCTCGTCCAGACTGCAGGGTGGAAAACCCTGCCAATACTCGAGTGAACAGGGAGTGAGTCACACTCTACCTGAAAGAGAGAGGAGGAGTTAGGTGAGGAGGATAAAGTCAGTCACATTAGGGCCTTGAGAATCTCCTGTTTAAGCAGAGTAGGACAGGAAAAAATCACTAGCTTTCCTTGTGTTTTCCTTTGCGTGGGCTGTGGCCCAGGGCACATGAGCTCGAGTTCAGGAGAATGTGAGAAGCTGAGAGCAGTTCTGAATGAAAGACCCGTGTGGTTCAGTGACGGGACAGATCAGCTGTCCTGCCCTCCCCTGTGCTCAGCACCGTCTGGACTGGGGAGTGGAGACGCTCATTTCTTCAGGGCTGGCTGGGAAAGCTGCAGACCCAGAGCGCAGACGCAGCTTGCGGTTCAGTTGTCCCCTCTGATGAGCAGCTGGAATCGATTTCTGGGCAGCAGCAGCCTTCCTAATATAAGATGATCATTTGCATGGTTAGGTGTTTGTTGTTTTTTAAATTTTTTATTCTGAAATAATTTTGAAGCTTACAAAGACGTTGTGGAAATAGTAGAGAGTTCTCGTGTATCCTTTACCCAGCATGGTTCGGTCTTTGTACATGAGTAATATCCTCACTAAATAACATTTCTATGCTACTGGGAATGGTGCCTGCCTTTGCCCCCTGCATAACTTTGGGGTCCAGGCATTTAAGTACATTTTGTCTAGAGCAAGTACCGGGCAGTTTTTTCCAAGGGCTTATTTCCCATTTGGCACCTGCTGCTTCTTTAGAACCGTTGAGCCAACGTAATTCAGTATACGGATCATGAAGAGTTCTTTCAGAGGTACTTCTGGCGTTTTATCCTTTACACCTAGGCTTTTTGGGACGATTGGGTTTGGATATTTGATGGGGCAGTTTTCATTGAAGCTCTAACGCTGTGGATTTCCTCTTATTGAATGAGAATCTTCCTCTGTCATTATCTTCCAAGGAGACGCAGCACACAGCTGATGTGTCTCCCTTCTCCCCAGTCCTCTCCCCCGCTTTGGTGTTGGTCCGGTAACAGGGGCCATTTTAGTTTTTCTCGTGGCTGCTGATTTTTTACCAATAGTCAACATCTTCCCTTTGTTCTGTTTTCTCAATTTCCAGCTTCGAAGTGAAAAAGAGACACGGAATAAGCTCATTGAGTCGGACCTGAACAGCAAGTTGCACGGTAGACTCTTTAAGAAGTAAGATATTTGGGTTTGAGAAATGTGATGAGCCCTGCTGAGTGTGACACGTTTAGCTTGAGAATTTATCCAGTGAAGAGACCCCGTGTTTGTAGCCAAATGATCTTTAAACACGTGGGAATGTTTGAGGGGCAAGGAGGTGAGTGGCATTGACTTGGGGGGGGGGGGACACTGAGAGTGGGTGGGCGTGTTTTAAATTTGTGAATTAACGGAGACTGTGTGCATTGCTTTTTTCCCGGCTGAAGGGTTCTTAGTCCCAACTCCTTCCCTACCTAGAAGGTCTGAGCTCAGGGGCCGTGTCTGTTCTGTTTACACCATACTGTCGCCTGGCATGGTCCTGGCGTGTGAGAAGCACTCAGTAAACATTTGTTAAATGATTAAAAAGTATTTACCTGCTCACTCATCATGAAGATGCACAGCCCTCCTGTTCCTGTGTGATAAACTTGCTGGATCTTCTGTCACACTCTCAAATCCAGTACCAACCCGTAGTCAGCAGAAAACCCAGGATTCAGAAGAATACGGACGTAAAGGAGGGTTTGAATACCTCTCTGTTACTGCTTCCGCACAGAGCTTCATGGGCTTGTCCTTCTCACACCGGATCCCCAGTGAGCGTAGGAAACGGTGTGTCCTTTCTCAATTGCGCTCAAATTGTCGTCTTTAATTTAGCAAAGAGAAGATGCTCTATGAGGAGGAGACACCAAAGCCCCAAGAAATGGAGGATGAAAACAAAGAATCCAGCAGCTCCAGCTCAGACGAGGACGAAGGTGAAGATGAGGCTTCTGAGTCAGAAACCGAGAAGGAGGCGGGTGATGCCGAGACCCTCTGTCTGCAGAGCACGGGGGGTCACTGCTTGTCACAAGGCAGGTGATGCCAGGGCCCTCAGGTGGAACCGATTCCCTAAACAGAACCTCCAAGTCTTTTTCTTTTTCCTTCCCATTATGTGGCACTCCTTCAATTCCTGATGTGGGGATTGAAGAAGGAACAAAATCGTATTTACCCTTATGACTCTTATTGATGATATACATCATATGGCACTCCTTACGTTTGTTATATGGCGAGACAGGAACCCCAGCGGTGAGAGTTGGGTGCTGGGCATGGTCAGAGTGCCAGGCTGTACATTAGCTTGAGGTTTTGATACACAGTAAGGCCAACACTTAGGAAAGAGACACACGGGGCTTTGCTGAGTAGAGGTTCCCCTGCCGCAGAGTAGTCCTCGTGGGTAACTGGGAGCTCGTGATAAACTCAGATTTCACCCGCCCATGTCCTGCAGTCACCGGCATGTTATTTCTTCAGACTGGTGTCCACGGGAAGATGCAGTGTCTTCAGTGAGAGGACCAGGTTAGAGGGAAGAGTCCACATTCAGTTTATGTCAACAGTAAAGTCTGTGTTTCCCTCTGACTCTGCCCTCGCCGGCTGCCCATCACGAAGATGCTCAGCTCTTTCGGTTGCTGGGCCCCAGCTCTTGTAAAGTGGGTCTGCCTTCACTGACGTGGTTTCTCTCAGTTGCAGGAGAGCACTGCCTTTGTCCGTGTCTCCGTCTCTCAGAGGAAGTTAGAGACCCTTTGCTTGTGTAGAACAGACGGGCCCAGCTAGGTTTGTAGTGGAGGAGACGACCTTTTGTTCACTAAGTCTTGCATTGCTGTTCCTAAGCAGGCACAGCTGGCTCTGGAAATGCCAGTGTAGTGTCTGTCAAAATCTGTGTGTGTTCATCTTTGTAATATTGGTATTGTGTACTGAGTGCTTACATGTTTTAGGCTTCCAGTATTGTCTGGAATGAGCATCTAGACTTGTTCTGTGCCGGATCACTATGTTAGTAGCTACCAAGGTGTTGGCGGAGTGGGAGGGCACTGCCTGGGCTACTGAAATTACCCACGATGCGTCCCCAGGCCTCAGATCTCTTGTTCCCTGCAGCCCAGCTCCACGTTGCTATTGGGGTGAAGCACCCCACACCCCTTGATGCTGCTGCACTCCTGTTCAGAAACCTTCCATGACCACCTTCCTGACTCTGCTTGCAGAGTAAGTCCCAAGCCCTGTGGCCCGGCCTTCAAGACCTCTCATAGTCCAGTTCCAGCTGACCTTTCCAGTGTTGTCTGTAAGTGCGGATGTGTGCTATCCAAGCTGGATCGCTGGAGTTCCCGGACGAGCCTGAGTGTGCTACCCCTGAACAGTTATTCGTGCTGTAGAACTCGTTCCTGGCCATCAGATGTTTATTGCATGATTTCCGTCAGAAGCTGTAGGGTCTGCCAGATTGCAGGGTCCTTCTCTAGGTTTTTCCCGTGCAGGAGCCTGCAGAGGAGGGGCCCCTCCCTGTGCCCCCCCCCCCCCCCCCCGCCGTGTGGCCCCCAGCACTGCTCATTCCTCTCCGTTGCAGCGCCCTTGGGCTGGGAATCCCAAGCGCGTCACTCCCAGGTCTCAGCACTGCACCTGGCACGTGACAGGCAGCCGCATCCACTGAACGTTTTGTTGAATGTATCCCGGGGATGTAGGGGGATAGGAAGGCGTGTACATGAGTAAAGCCCATGTCACGTGAGAGAGAGAAATGCAGCCAATGATGTTCACTAGTCCAAAACACTGCATTGAGTTTGGGGGTTTATTGTGACCCTTTAGGGTGGAGATCAAGGAGGCGGAATAGAAAGACACAGAGCTCACCTCCTCCCACGAATACATCAGAAATACATGTACACACGGGACGGCTCTCACAGAACATAGCAGCGCTTCACATTTATGCAGTGCTTGCTTATTTATTTATTTATTTGGTTGCGCCATGTCTTAGTTGTGGTGCGCGGGCTCCTTAGGTGCAGCACACGGGCTGTGGCACGTGAACTCTTAGTTGCAGCATGCGGGATCTAGTTCCCTGACCGGGGATTGAACCTGGACCCCCTGCATTGGGAGTGCAGAGTCTTATCCACTGTGCCACCAGGGTAGTCCCTATATACAGCTTTTGAATTTGCGACACACTTAACACATTTTTATTTAATCCTTACACCCACACTCTGAGGTGATGTATTATTGCCTCCACTTTTTAGAATGGGAAAGTGACACCGCAGGTGAGGTGACTTGGGGCTCACAGCTGTGGGTGTAGTGCCCGAGCCCCCGACTTTGATCTGGGCTCCTCGGAGTAGCAGGGGCAGAAAGCTCACGCTGGGGGCAAGGGCAGGATCTCCCCAGGGGAGGGGTCGTCAGAAAAGAGCTACATACGGGAGCTGGGAGGTGAGATAGAGTTGGTGGAGGAGGGGTGGCCCCAGGGGATGTGTGTTTCTGCGTCGGGAAGGCCGGGCAGGAGCGAGGAGGAGACCGAGGCTCCAGCGGGTCAGTCTCAGAAGCTGGCGGCGGCTGTGGGCTTCCCTGCGCACTTCTGTCTGTGGACATTTTACTCCTGACTCAGAGCCTGGCTCAAAGCAGCGTCCTTTGCGAAGCCCTGTCGTCACAGCTACGAGGTTTCCTCCCCTCTTCTGACTCCTGTAGCTGTGGTTGGAGCCTTTGTGTTGCTTGGACTACTTAGCGTTCGTGTTACGTCGGTTCTCCTCTTCGTCTGCTCTGCTCTCCCCACCAGCGAGCTGCGGGGCGCTGGGACACAGCGTGTGTCCTGCTGACCTTCGCGTCCTTCCTGGTGCCCAGCGCCGGGCCTTGTGCAGGGCAGGTGCTCGGCACAGCCTGGCGGGGGCGTGGGGAGCGGGTGGTGCCTGAACCTCCAGGTGCCGCCTGGCGCGCGTGCACACACTGAGCAGGCCCTTGTTGAGTGCACGTCTCCTCTTTTTAAACCTCCACAGGTACAGCCTCATAAAATGACAGTTTCCATGTGTGTTACGTACAAACGTAGTTGTAAGGAATGTTAATTATATTTTGAGGTAAATGTAAGCAGTTTGACTTGGATTTGTTTTTCCCTTTCTTTTACTTATTTGACGTGTTACTTATCTACTGCTGCATAACAAGCCATCCCAAAACTTAGTGACAGGTAGCACAACTCTTTGTACGCACCCAGTGTCACAGGTTGGTAGTTTGGGAAGGGCCCTGCCGGGGCGGCTTCTCTGTTGTCCGTGTGGCGGTGCCGGCACACTCACGAGTGTGGCGAGTTGGTGCGTGGCTGAGGGGTGGCCTTCTCCCTTCCTGGTGGCTTGCCGGGACGTCTGGGGCAAATGGGCCGTGTGTCTCTTGTCGTCAGGCAGGCCAGCCCCTGCTTCACACGGCAGCTGAATTCCAGCCATCATCAGAGGGGGCGAGCTCCGCGCACACGCACTCTCCAGGCCTCTGCTGTGTCCCGTTTGCTGATGTCCCAGGGGCCACAGGAAGTCACAGGGCCAAGCCCGGAGTCAGTATGAGGGGTACTACAAAGGGTGTGGACTCACCAGGAGTCAGCCTATGACAGTGTCAGTGAGGTTTGGCAGTGAGGTCCATTTCCTGGGGGTAGAGACGTTCCGACTGTATTCAAAGACTGCCTTGAGTATTCACAGTAGCCACAAAGACAGTGACGTTCATAATAATAAACTGTTTTCTAGGGACTTAATATTGAGTTATGCAACTTAAAAACATTTTATCTCTAATCTGTACAGCAACTCACAAGACAAGAATTTGAGTCCCTGATTTATCAGTGAGAAAATCGAAGTTCAAATATGCTAAGTAACTTGCCCAGTGTCCCACATCTAGGATGTGGCTTAAAACTGTCCCGTAGTTCATGAGTGGGATACCCTGGGGCTGTGTTTCTGGAGTCCAGGGACCAGAGGCCCAGCAGCCGCTGGACGCAGGCAGACGGGACTTCTATCAGCGCCCCGTGAGGGACCCCTCCCCCTTATGTCACCACAGTGTCCTACATGACCCTCTGGCTTTATTTCCTGTTGTGACCCCAAGAGCCCTTGTCACTTGGTGGCTGCCTCTCTCCTGACCAGCGGACGTGGGTGTTGTGACTTCCCGGCCCTTCCTCCTGCTGCTCTGTGCCCTCCGGCTTCCCCCACGGCATCTTCCCTATGTTCCCTCCCTCAGACGATCTGCCTCTTCTCTGAATCCCCGGAGCACTTGCTGATTTAAATCAACCAGTTCAGCACCGGACGTCTTTGACCTTGTGTTGTTACCATGATTATTTTACGTCTTACGTCTCTTCTTTTTGTAACTGCCTAGAAAGCAAGGTCTATCTTATACCTTCTCTGGCTTTTCCTGCCCAACCCTCCAAACAGAGTAGATTCTTACTATGTACTTACTGATGAATTTTATATGTGACATATAGTGTCAGCTATACATGTGGGGATTAGAATTGGCACCTGTCAAGACAGGAATTCCACTTGAGTCTGTTTTCTTATAAGAGACAGTGGTTGCCAGAGGTTTCATGGTAGTTTGAATCCCAGCATTACATGGCCCTAATGATCTGTTTTGATAATGGGTAAACCCTTTCTGTTAGCTGAAAAGTACACATACACACGGATAAGGTTTTCATACTTGTACTTGTTGCTTCTCTTGTCTTAAATAACAGATAAAAAGCCGGGAGCCATCGTCAACCGTTCCAAATCCGAAAGCAAGAGTAGTGCCGCCGAGCAGACACCAGCACCAGCGCAGATCATCTCCTCCACCTCTTCAGCCAGGAGAGTGAGTAGTTTGGAATTCGTTTGGATAGTTCCCACTATTGCGGTAACGTACAGTTAGAAAGGCCCTAAAGGTACATTCATGCTTTTTTTTTTTCTTTAAATTGAGTATAGTTGATTTACGATGTTGGGTTAGTTTCAGGTATACAGCAAAGTGATTTGGTTATACATACATATATATCTTTTTTTTTTCACATTTTTTTTCCTTTATAGGTTATTACAAAGTACTTAGTAGAGTTCCCTATGCTGTACGGTACAGTAGGTCCATGTTGTTTATCTATTTTGTATATAGTGGTGTGTATCTGTTAATCCCAAACTCCTAATTTATCCCCCCCTCCTTTCCCCTTTGGTAACCATAAGTTTGTTTTCTATGTCTGTGAGTCTATTTCTGTTTCATAGATAAGCTCATTTGTATCCTTTTTTTTAGATTCCACATATGAGTGATATCATGTGGTATTTGTCTTTCTCTGTCTGACTCACTTCACTTAGTATGATGATCTCTAGGTCCATCCATGTTGCTGCAAATGGCATGATTTCACTCTTTTTTATGGCTGAGTAATACTCTGTTGTATATATGTACCACATCTTTATATTCCTGCCTTAGTCAGCTCAGCTGCCATAACAAAATACCACAAACAGGGTGGCTTTAAATAGAAACTTATGTCTCACGGTCTGGAGGCTGGAACTCCAAGATCAAGGTGCTGGCAGGTTCAGTTCATGGTGAGGGCGCTCTTCCTGGCTCTCAGACAACCACCTGGTCTCCAAGTATAATCACACTGGGGGTTAGGGCTTCAGTACGTGGATTTGGAGGAGTGGACACGATGTTTGTGTCCATGACTTTGCCCACAGTATATTTTAAAAAAGTATAAAGCCATCACCAAACAAATTTGGCTACAGTGTGTTTAGATGACACAGGCCCTAGTAACCTGGGACCAAGGAAGTGTTGTCAGTTGCCTGTTTTCTTCGTATCTGAAGTTGAGGTGAGCGTATGTGAAGCTCAGTTGGGCTGGGAAGATAGCCAGCATCCAGCCTCGATTGTTCTGATGACTGCTTTTCTTTTTTTACTTCTCGTGTTCCATTTTACTTTCCTGAGTTAAGTCCTTATAGTCGATGATGAATGGAGAGCAGAGGTTGAAAGCACTCGTTGAAATACGTGAGTGCCTCCGGCAGCCTCCTCAGGCCGCTCAGAAGCTGCCGGCTCCTCGCCGGTGATGCCGCGGCTCCGCAGCGTGTGGGATTGATGTTGAGGAGAACGGGCCCGAGCTCTTTGGAGTGCAGCTCTTGGACAGCTCTGTACTTCTGCAGATGCTAACTTACTGATCTTCCCAGAGCCTCGTGAACGTGCAGGTGGCATTCTGGTGTCCTTGTGGAGACAAGGCAGCAGAGGCTCAGCTGCGCGCTGGCTCCCGGGAGCGTCCAGTCTCTCAGTCCTGCGCACTCCCCCTGCTTCTGCGCGTGACTAAATCGCCTGCTTTTTTAAGAGGAAAAGTCCTAAATTAAAAAAGATACAAACGCACACCCATACTTATTCTACTTTGCTAAAAGAATGCTGGGAAACATTTCTCCCCTCAGAACCAGGTGGCTTAGAAAGAGCTGACGGGATCGATTCTCTGAAGCTGGAAGGAGTACGTAAATCTGTCCATTCAGACGGTCGGGTAAAAGAAAAAGCTAAGCATGGCTTTACATTTCTGTTGCGCTTTCACTGTGCCAGGCGGTAGAGGTGGCCTGGTTCTGCAGAAAGACCGACGCATCTAGCAGAGCCCCCCACGGCCCAGGAAGAGGCCCACGGCTGCTGGTCTGTAGACCAGATGTGCCCCAGCCTGGTCTTCAGGCTGACACTAGTCTGTGATGTTTTCTGTGGTTTATAGCAGGATGAGATGGCTAAGGACAATGGAAGCTTTCCATGAAGCCTTCTTTTCTAATGTTAAAATTACTTCTCTCTCTCTCTTTTTTTTAATGAAATGATGGTACCGGAAATGGTAATCCATTTCTGAAAGCTGTTCTGGCAAAATTTAAAAACTGGCAACTCTGTGACTTGTACCATTTTTTTTTTCTTTTTTAATTTTGCTGCTCGCTGAAATCTGAAATGCTTAGAACTGCTGCCCTCGGTCAAATAAACCATTGTCTTGAAATAAGCAGTTAGAATTTGAGTGGAGTGGCCTTTAGCATCTGTGTGCGTGTTACCTTCCATCAGCTTGCCGCAGTCTCATCACAGGACCTTGAAACATAGCGACACCTTGGCCCGCCCTGTGTTTCCCAGTGTCCACATGTTATAAGAGGGGTAAGCTCTTTGCCAGGGTTGAAGATGGGCACGTTGAGGCCTGGAGAGGTGAGGTGTCCTGTCCCCAGGCACACAGCGGACAGGAGGGGGCGTGTCACCAGGCCTGGGTCAGCACTCAGCCTGCTGTCGTACTCCTCGAGCAGCTCTGCCAGGTGGGAGCTTCTTAGGCTGTCTCTGGCCCAGGAGAAAGGGAGCCCTGCGCGGGCCTGGCCTGCCGCGTGCTTCTCCCTGCTCCGCCCCACATCGCCCCACGGAGCTCAGCTGGGGACGGAAAGACCCAAAAGGACCTTCCTTTCCTTTGCTTCGTCCCTCGTAGTTCTCCGGCCTTTTCAACAAGCCGGAAGAGCCCAGAGATGAGTCTCCGTCTTCGTGGAGGCTGGGCCTCAGGAAGACCGGCAGCCAAAACGTGCTGGGCGAGGCGGCCAGGTCCAGGGAGGCCCTGCGGGACCGGGGCGCGTCCATCCACCGCTCGGCCTCCAGCCCCCGCATCTCCACTGTGCTGGACACCAGAGAAAAGGTGCAGTTTCCCTCTGTGACAGTGCAACCTCGGGAACAAAGGAAAACATTTTCTAGTCCCTAATTTGAGGCTGGAAGTACAGAGTCTTTAAAAGGAGACAGGCATGTTGATTAATCATGTAGCTCTTTGCTTGCTATTACTTGCTTGGCCAAGAAAGAAAGAGACCCCTTTTCCTTTTGGCATATACCTTCTGTTCATTCTTCCTTACCCTCCTTACCTGGGGCAAAAAAGTGGGTCAGAAGCATGAAGATTTGGATACGGCCTAAAAGGTTCCTCTGAACCAGTAACAGTATTTATTCTTTTTATGTTTAGAAGCAGAGTTCCTTGGTTGGGCTTTCAATCCTAATGAGGCTCAGGCAGAGTAGCACTTAGAGAAACAAATCTTAGTGTCTCATTTGTTCATTAATTGATGTATGATCCGGCTACTTCTCATCTGCTGTTCATCCAGAAGGAGCACGTTTCTGTGTCTTCACTCTGGTTCCAGAGTTCACAGGGCTCGCTCGGTGCACCTCTCTGGGGCTGGGTCTCCTTCAACCACAGACCCCTCGCTCGGTCCTGGGTTTCCGGAGACACTCGGGCCCGAGGTGTGTGGGCTGCATTAGCTCTGGGGCCCATTTGTACCCGAGGCTGCATTTTGAGGAGAAGAACTCGAGAGTGCAGTTGCTGTCTGTGGCTCTTCAGAAGCTGCCTGTCTCTGTAGGGCTGCTGCTTGGTGTGATAGGTGCTGCTCTTTCCTGTTTGATGGCCCTGGCTTTTCCCATGAGAACTATTTCCCTACATGTTGGTTTTTAATGGAGGAGAGTTGGGAATGAGCCTTTGAATGCTAACCTTTTTTAATACCACTCAAACTGGAATTGGTATTGAATCTGGAAGTAAGATTATATGGGTATATTAAGTTCTGCTTTTTTACCCAAAATGTTTTCCTCTGTGTCAGAACTCTGCCTTCCCTGTGCGTTCCTTGTTTTGATTTTACAGGAGCGAGAAAGCAGAAGCTCTTTCAGCGCACTGGGGCCGCGGAGGCTGAGCACCGCCAGCGACCTGGAGGAGAAGGAGAACAGGTACTCCGCACCGGGGCCCCACGGCCGCTCTCCCATCCCGGAGCCCTAGCCCTCCGCCCGCGCCTTGCCGGTGCTGGGCCGACAGCTCGACCCTCCCGTGTGGGTTCGCTTTAGTCCACAGCTGGCTCTGTGCACGTGGGGTCTGTGTCCACCGGAGGCTCAGGCGCTCCTCGTGCCAGGACAGGGCCTGTCCCCGGGGAACACTAAAAATGTGGTTATTTAATTGAATTGATCAACTTCTAATTTGTAAGTAAAGTCTTCCTCATCAGTTAAAATGAATATGGGAATGTTGAGGTATCGCTGCATCTCAGAGCAGAGCCTGGGCTAGAGCCTTGCTTCTCAAGGTGCGGTCCTCCAGCCAGCAGCACCAGGGACACTGGAAGCCGTTAGCAATGCAGAGTCTCAGTCCCGCCCAGACCTGCTGAAGTAGATGGGCGCTTGCACAAAGTCCCCTCGGTGGTTGAAAGGCGCGTTAAAGCTTTGGAAGAACTGCCCTGGGGGACCTCCCCGGGTTACCAGCTGTGGTTAGGAAGAGGTGCCAGGGCCGCTCCTGGGCGTCGCCCGCGTAGGAAGCTGAGGAGGCTCCCTCACTTGCGCGCACGTCCTCTCTGCCTCCCCCGTCCCGCCTCTGCTGCTTTGAGCGGCCCACACCGGGCTGACCTGCCAGGCTTTCTAACTGAGGAACGAAGTGGCCCCTCCTCACGAAAGGGCTCCAGGTCCGCACCACAAGCAGTTGGTACCTACTGAGATGGGTTGGCTTTGAAGTTCCTAAAAGGAGGCAGACACGAAGCCTTAACCAGTCCCCCATCTGTGCGGGGAGACAGGTGTATGAACACCTATCTCTTGAAAAGGGCCCCGTTGCTGTCTCTGCAGCCACATGCGCTCCGCCTGCCCGGCCCCCCTCCCAGTTTATGCCATGCCCTGGACAGAGGGCGGGGCCAGTGTTTTGTTTTGTGTCCGTCCTGCATCCACAGAGAGTCGGCTGCTCACCTGGTGCGGAGTGGCCCCCCCGCCCGCCAGCTGCGGAGGGACGGAGCGGAGGGGAGTGAATCTCTGCAGACGGCCGCCCCTTCCACCTACGTGACAACCTACCTGAAAAGGTACCAGGCTCCCAGGCTGGGAGGTGGTTTCCTTCACTCTGGCCGTGGGCAGATGGGCAGTAAATTGCATGCCTTTTTTATACCCAGTTAGCACCACAGAAACGAATCAAGAACTGAATTGCTCTTACATTTCTCGGGAGTGACATCTTAAGTAATTTTAAACCAAAGTTAATTTCTTTCCCTCACTGAATCAGAGCAAGCTAATTCCAGGTTCTCCCCACAGACAGATCTGAATGTATACTCCGTCCTTTCAGTCCTGTAAAATCTTCAGCCAGATATGACCTCGGGTAGACTCTGAGCAGGACTGAATTTAAGTCGCCCTTGCCTGGTAGCCAGCTCTCCTTCCTCAGCTCAAGTCACGCTTTGGGGGGAGGCAGGGAGGGGCCTGTAGGGTGTAGCGGGGGCAGGATGGGGACAGATGTTAATTGCATTAAAAAAAATTTCATATTGAAGCCTGTTAATTTAGGGACTTGAGTTGTTTTTTTTTTTTTTATGACTTTAATGGCCCTCAGATCCATCAAGATATGAAACTCGCAAGTCTGGTGCAGAGAAGGTACCTGGGTTTCCTTCCCCTTTTCTCATCTGTATACCCCTTTCTGCAGTTATCTTCTTTGCCATGTACCAGCCAGCAAGCAGGGCACCTTTGCCAGAGCCATTAAGCTATAAGACACAATTAATATTTCCATTTGAACTTCGCTGCTGATGCGGAGGAATCTGATTCTCATTGCTTCCTCTGAATTCTTTCTTCACTTGTACTCTCTCAACCAAACCCCTCCAACTGCCTCATCATGCCACAGCTTTCATCAGTAGGTTTTTAGGTGATTCTTGGCTACCCTAGGCACAGGCTTTGGCCACAGACTGTGTGTCTGGGATCAAAACCTATTTTCACTTGATAGGAATAATCTCGTCAACCAGTTAATGTCGGAATGTGGAGACTGTGCCATAAATCAAACAGCCACTGTCACCTTTTAACGCCCTTCAGTTCTGCAGATACGTCCTGTAAGAGAGGGCTCAACTTTGAAAGGGAGCAAGTACAATTCATTGATGCCACTGAAGCTTCGTCCTACAGCCTCAGTGTTTTTGGCTTTAATGAGGCTGTTGCCTGTTTGTCTTCGAGGGTGAGGCCTTAGTCTGAATAGATAACTTATTACTCCTTGTAGCTGGATCCAAGCTGAAACCAGGACCAAGAAAACTTCTCTAAGAAAAGAATGTTCTAGAACTTAGGAAAGATGAAGGTGGCATCTTCATCTTCATCTTTAATGTTCAGGCCTGGTGTTATTTTGTGGTAGGGTTGGTGGCTTTCTGGATCCAAGTCATCAGCAGATGGATGGAGTGAGTAGTGTTTGGTTTCATAGATGTCTTTTGGCAAAATCATGGTGAACAGAGGAGAGGGGACACTTCTCTTTAGGGTGGGAAGCGTGCTTAATTATGTGAGCATGTTTGAGAAAATATCTACAGCTTGCTCTATACCTTGGACTTCCAAAGCTTTTCTTCTGTAATCCTAAAGCACTTTTTTATTTTACAAATCTTATTTTATGATCTTTCACAAGGAAAGAATCATATACAATCACTGTTTCAAACAGAAAGTGTGGATAGACATTTGTCCTTCTTGGACTATGCCAAACCTCAGAAACTTTCCATTTTCAGTCTCCTTATTTTTCAGGCAGAAATTCCTTTTATAACAGCCCAGTAAAATGCATCTTTTGTCGAAGAAGTCTTCCTGGCTTTTTTGGGTCACCCCCGCCTCAAGTGTTTCATTACTATTATAGTCAAGAAGTTTTTAAAAAAATTCTAATCCAAATAATTTTTTGCCGCAGTTGAGATGGTTCCTACCTTTCTTCAGCTGAGGCAGGGGAAAGCTGTCCTCTGTTGCCTGTACAGTATTACTTGCTAGACCTAAACCTTGAAATCCTCCCAAGGCGTTTTGGCCTCTGTCCTCTTCTCTACTCTTTAATCCTGAGTCTCTGCTCCAAACCCTCTGCAGATTCTCGGGCTCACTCACACTGCTTTTGCAGTGTTGCTTCTGTCTCCGGGAAGCAGCTGGGGTTGCGTGACTTTGTCGGGGGTGTTGGAGTTCTTCTTTCCAGCGCGCTGCCTCTGCCGCCCGTCTTCCCCTCCCCCAGCCCCACTCCACCCGTGCGCTCGGCTCCCTCCTCCCTGTTGCTCTTCATCTCTCCTCCTCCCCGCGCCTTCCCTCTGTGGGGTGATGGACAGAGGCCTGCGTGCTGCCGGGGCCCTGCTCGAGCTGGGCTGGGCCCCTCCGCTTCCCAGCTGTCGTGCCCTCTCTCCATCCACCTCCTTTGAGCACGTAGTCTGGGTGGGGAGGTGGTGCTGGGAGGGGGCGAGCAGCGTGTCCTGAAGGAAGTGACCGTGTGCTGTCTTGCAGTGCGTCCTGTGGTGGACGTAGTGGCCCCTCAAGCCCCCACCTCTCAGCCAATCACAGCCCACCTCCTGCTGCCTCGCTCATTACCATTGGTTCCTCCAGCTCTGGGGCGGCAGGTGGCAGCCCGCCGCCTGCTCCCCCGCTCCACTCAGTGCAGACACTGCTGCATCTGTGCACCACGCAGGTAAGGCTGCTGGGGGCCGCTGGAGTCACATCTGGAGGCTCCAGCCAGGAGACTCCGGACTCCTGGAGAGTGTCCCTGAGTCAGTGAGGACGCTTTTGCTCTGACCTGTGTCGGCCAGGCAGCAGCTGCTCGTCAGGTAACCGTAGGGCATGCTTAGGCCTTGCCTCCTGGTAGCTCTCCCAGCTGGGTTACAACGTGAGGGCCCCAGCTATTGTGCTAAATCGCATGTTACAAACAGCCCACATGACATTTATACTAATTTCCCAGGAAGTATCAGGAGGGATCTCTTCTGTTTACTCTTTTTGGAAGATGGCATTCAACCCAAATCGAAAGGGACGCTAATTCTTGTCCCAGAAGCCTCCTACAGCCCCCTTCTGAGAATTCCCAGCAGTGAGTGTTTTGCGGCACCCACTGTGGGAAGGAGGAGATGTGTGTTTGTCTCCACTCTGTTGCCGGCGGACGCCTTGGCTTCTAGCTCATCTGAGGGGTGGCACGGGCAGAGTGTCGTGTGAACCTGGGGCAGCACTTCAGCTGTGGCTGTGAATGTGGCCAGAGGTAGTTTCCTTCGGGTGCAGCACAGGGGCTCCTCCACCGGGTCTTGTTTCTACAGCTGACACACAAAAAATGAAAAATGTCATCGAGGCCAGTGTTGCGGCAAGGACACGGCTGGTGCTGGTGCCCGACTGGTGCCCGACTGGCCACTGGGTTTCTTTTCCTGACAAAAGTGGGGCTCATTTGTTTGGCCAGGTGGGGTGGCTTATGATGGACTGCTTCTAACAATACTGTATGATTATTTATACATTTACTAGGCCCCATAACAATCCGTTTGCACAGGCATGGTTAACGTTAGCCCCACAGATGGAGACACTGAAGCACAGAGAGGCTACTGATTGATTCAGAGCGAGGCCTGGGGAAGAATGGTAATGGCCCCCCTTGTTGAGCCCCAGCGTGAGCCAGGCGTGGGGCTCGCGCCGTGCAGGATTACAGCAGGACTCGCTTCACTCACACGTAACAGTGTGTCCAAATGGTACTGACTAGGTTTATTTTAAAGGCTTATTTTTTTTCTCTCAGTTAAGACAGTCCAGAAATAGGCAGTGCTGGCACATAGCTCCAGAGCCACCAAAGGGTCTGTGTTCCTTCTGTCTTTCCGCTTCACAATGTTTAGATTGTGGCTTCCATTTCCACGGGTTGCCTAATGGTCCAAAATAGCTGCTAGCGTTCTAGCCATCATGGCTGTATTCTAGGCAGGGAGGAGGAGGAAAGAGGGAAGTATGCGAAGAGGGAATGCCTCTGAACTGAGAATTTCCCCAGACGCACTGATCTTCTGCTCGTGTCTCCCTGGCCACCTCTAGCGACCAGGGAGACTTTGAAAAGTGTGGATTTTTAGCTAGGCACATTGATGCCTTGAATAATAGGGTCCTGTTAGTAAGGAGGGAAAGGGACATGAACATGGGTGAGGCAGCTGGCTGTGCTACATGTGGTCCTAAAGAGCCCTCCAGTGTATGGGACATTATCCTCATTTTATGGATGAGGAAGCTGAGACCAAAAATATGGTGATCTGCCCGAGGTCACTCGGCCAGGAAGGAACAACCACGGCAGGATTGGAGCCTGGATTTGTGCGTTTGGGGGCTCTTTGCTTTTTCACTATTTTCTTTCCACTGAGTTTATCTTTTATTGTGGGCACTATACTGAGTGTTCCACAGACATTTGATGTAACCATCACAAGATCCCTGCAGTTCAAGGCAGCATTATCCCCATTTTACAGGGAAGGGATCGGAGAGGTTACACTCAGAGCCTCCGATCCCTGCTCTGGAGCTTCTTCTGTTCGGATCCTAACAACCTCCTTGTAAAATTATATACTTCAAAATAATAGTAAGAATCCTATTCTGTAATTTGACAAATAAAATCCTTGGCATTTCTCCAGCATAAGAAATTGCAGAGACCGAAGCATGTTATTAAGCTAAAAGGAATTCCATGTAAGGTTTCGATAAGTGTAATGATTTTATAGCTTTGTTCCTGGCTGATTTTATTAGTGCTTCCTGTAGGCTCATACATCTTGTAAGTCTGAGGAATTATTTGCCTTCATTTTTTAAATAAAAAAATGAATGTGAAATTTCACCTTTTTTCTGAGCTATTAATTGCTTCTGGAGAAGTGGCTTGTATTTTTTAGATACCACTTCAAAACTGTTCTAATTTTATACTGGCATCTAGGTACCATATTTAGGTTTTTATGATCTGATTAATTCTTTCAAGCTTATTATAATAATGTGATTATTTGAAAATGAGCTTATAGCTCCTTATAAGCATTCTGGTAATTCTAAGTAGGTGAAAAAACCAGATTTTTAGCATTCATTATTTTCATTTCTTTCTCCATCTTTGTGAGTATCAATTTTGGATCTCTGTTACCCCAGCAACAAGCTGTGACATCACAAATGATAGCTTTTTTGGGTGGAAAGCCAATGGTTGATCTCAACTCTTTGTTAAGAAACAAAGGTCTTGTTTTCATGTAAATGAACGTAATTGTACAGCTTGCTGTTGGAAAGTCTGTAGTTAAGGTTGCGTGTAGAATCCTGTTAGTTTTGGTTTCAGTCTCTCCTGTCTGCAGTTACGAATACGGACAATCAGGCATTTGGTTCCGTGGAAAGAGAGCAGTTGCTAAGCTAGGTGAGGTTGCGGGGTGTCTGTCGAGTGTATCTGGGTGATCCAGGAGGACGGCCGTCCGCTGTGAGGCCACCACAGGCACTCACTGCCCGGGACTGAAGGGCAGTGACGTGATCGTAAGTGACTTCAGTGTCTGTTGTGTGTGTGTGGAGACCAGATGGTGCTCAGGACTCATTCAGAGCTCTCTCGCATGTGTCACTATCTTGCCTTGTGCCATAGCTAATCAAAAAACAATTTTTTTCTAATCTCAAGTAAAAAATATTTTCCGTAAAACATAACTGCTTGGGCAGAAGATATCAGACGGAAAGCGTAATCACTGTTCTAAGATTTAAGAGCTCAGAATTAAGAAAGCAGACCAACCCCAGACAAATTCTGAGCGAGAAGATTCTCTGGGTAAACCCACCTCGAAGCTCTGTCTCCACCACTGCGTTGTGTGCGTGCCTGACCGTTCTCTTTCTGCTTGTGTCCTTTTGATTTCAGGCCTCCTTACAAATCCCAGGCTGACTCCGCAGCGGAGAGAACAGTAGACGGTGTCTCTTGCGGCACCCCGCTCTGTGTGATCACGAATCGCCCCCCACCTAGCACTGCCAATGGGGTTACAGCTGCCGCTCTGCTCTCCACTCCTGGAACGGACTCCTCTGTGGAAGCCAGGGAGAGGAGGAGGTGTGTTACGACTGATGTCACTTGTGGGGTTCTGCTTTGAGGTAGTAGGCAGCGGGGTGGGCGTGAAGTGTTTTCCCCAGCCGCACATACTTCTGTGAAAACGAGTCTTCATGTTACAGCGTGGGTTTTCTCTTTTGCCTCTGGGAGGTTTTTGGTGGAGATCTTCATTCTTTCTGATTATTTAACGTAGGTACTTCTTCTGTTATGGACCTGTGGGCATTTCTTCTTTCTGTTTGTCTTACGAGAGAGATGGCTGTCAGGCACTGTTTCCCCCTTTTGTGACGGAGCAGCTGAGCAGAGAGAAGTGTCTTTGGTTTGGCTCTGGTGGTCCACGACGACTGCTGGCAGCAGAGAAGAGCAGTGATATGATAAAAGGCTCAGAGAAACGGAGCTAGGATGTGCAGTTTTGATGAATCTGAGACGAATACCAGAAAAGGAAGTGGATGGCACATGATGATACTGTAGAGGGATGGTGGCCAACTGTTCTGCAGGCTCCTTGGAGGGATGGTGGGAGCAGCCGTGAGCGGACCTCAGAGAGCTCTAAGGCAGGAGCTAAGAGAACCTTCTGAGACAATGGAAGGTGTGACCAAGGAGAGCAGGCCATTTTCTTCCACTAGAAGAAGTGGTAAAAATAGAATGCATTCCATTTGGGAGTTTCAGATCTACATAAAGACTGAAGCCATAATTATCCCTTTTTTAAGACTAGAAAAAGAGGTCAAATCTTACCAAAATTTAGATTTCACTTTGACTTCATTTTATTTTGAATATCCAAAGGAAGGAGGTGTATATTTCCGAGTGTCTGTATGTGTAACAAGGCAGCGTGTCGTTTCAGCTACAAGGTACAATGAGTTAAACTTTTTAGACGTTCGCTTTTTATAAAGATAGCTCTAAGACTTGCATCTTGCGAAGAAGCAGAAGGAAGATGTTAAGTTGAAAAAGAGTGTTTTTCTTCCTTTCCTCCCTTTCTTTTTTCATTTCTTTACGTACAACTTGAAGAAATTCCATTTTCTGGGCTAAGAGATTGCAGAGCTAACAGTTGTCATCTTTTAATAGGCTTACAGCCAGGAAAGTTTTAATAAATCAATCTTCAATATTTAATGTCTATGTATTTCATAGCTCAGACGTTACTTAGATACTGTTAGTTTCATCTAGAAACTAAATGCGAAAGCAATCTTTCATTAGCTGGGGAAAAAACTCCCTTTAAAAACTCCTTCTGAGCTGAGACAAGTGAAATGAGTTAAATTCATCACTAAGATCATGGTCCCTGGAAGGATGTGTAAACCAGGTTCTTTATCAAACTGCATTATTAAATATTTAGTTGCATGAACCATTATTTAGAGAAATCTAGAGAAACGATTGCTGTCTTCTGGGCATTTTCTAACCTGTGGTCAGTAACCTGTTACAGATTGTGGTTTTTGTTTTAGAAGTTTTACTCAAGCCACAAATATTTATTGAGCGCCAGCCGTGTGCCACATGTTTTACAGAACTAGGATGTCTTTCCTCAAGGAGCAGCAAGTGTAAGAATAAAAGAATTGGGTCAAGATAGTAATGAATTGTAATATGAATGTGGTATATCAAGATGAGTGCACTTTAGGGATGGCACAAAATAGGTATAGATATTCGTTAGATAAATAATAATTATTAGATAATAAAATAAATAGCTGGCACAAGATAAATAGCTGGGAGCGTATTAGATAAAGAGCTGTTGGACTCAGTCAGTTGATCTGTAGCAGCGTTTATTCCTTCCAGAATTTGCTGAGCACCTGCTGTTGCCAAGTACTGTGACAAGCCCAGACCGCACAGCCATGAGCTGATGAGTATGGTCTGACCGGTGCGAAGTGTATACGCTAGTGAAGAGGAACGAGGGTGATGACACTTGTGATAGATGCTGTGCGTGGTGCTTTACAGAAGATCCGCCTACTGTAGACTCGCCTTCTCGGGGTGGGGGGGTGGGGTCAGAGAAAGTCCCCCTCGGGGTGTGATGCCCGAGTGAGAACTGCAGGGCAAATAACAGCCAGGGGAGGGGGAGGGGCGGGCGTTCCAGGCAGAGCAGACAGCCACCGCAGAGACACCAAGGCGGGGGACGGTGCTCGATCCTTCGGAGACGCTGGAAGGAGACATGGTGGCTGGAGTGTAGCGAGTGAGGGACAGAGCCGTCTGCGGTGAGGCCCGCGGCGCAGGCAGGGCTCCGTGATGCAGCTCACCCCCAGCGAGGAGGTTGTGGGTTTATGTGCCGAGAACCATGGTGAGCCACCGGAAGAGTTTTTTGAACCGCTTTGCAGAGATGTGCTTCACACAGCATGTAATTCACCAGTTCAACGCAGCCATCACCACAGTCAATTTTAGAGCATTTTCATCACCTTAAAAAGAAAGCCCGTAGCCTTCAGCTGTCGCCACCCCGTCTCCCCCTGCCCCTGAGGCCTAAGCAACCACTCCTCTACTTTCTGCTTCTGTCAAGTTGCGTGCTCTGGAGATTTCATCCAAATGGAATCAGTATGTGGTCTTCTGTGACTGGCTCCTTTCCCTCAGCAGCGTGTTTTCAAGAGTCATCTGTGTTGTGGCGTGCATCAGTACTTTATTCTTTTCATGGCCGGATACTGTTTCGTTACGTGGATATACTGCATTTTGTGTGCCATTCATGGGGTGGGGGACATTTGGGTTGTCTCCACCTTTCAGCTATTTGAAGAATGTCATTATAAACATTCATGTACAAGTTTTTGTGTGAACGTATGTTTTCATTTCTCTTGGGTGTGTACCTAGGAGTAGAATTTCTGGGTCATCTGTCAGTAGAAGATTTGAGACAAAAAAAAAAGTTGATGTGACTTACATTTTAAAAAATTCTGCCTTTTAAACTCTGGTTGCAGTAGTACATACAAAGTGGACAGGGGAAGAATGGACAGGAATGGATGTGAGATGACCAGTTAGGACACCCCTGCAGAGGAGCGAGCGTGAAGAAGACCAGTAGCTGGCACTGAGGTAGTCGTTGGAGGAGACGGAAAAGAGTGAATGTGCTCAACGTTTGTTTAGGAGGTGGTTCCAGCAGCACGGCAGACAGGCCCACAGGGCCCTGTTCCTATTATAAACAGACGAAAGGGTGGCTCAGTTCAGAAGAATGAAAGAGAACTCCCAGCTGACAAAAATGAAGAGACCCCAGAAGCCAGAATGGTCTGAGTGGCCCAGGGTGGAATGAGACCTGGAGCCTGGAGGCTCTGGTTTAGCGCCGTGGGTGGATGTAGGACGCGTGGCTGTGGACCTGGCTAGGCTTGGATCCACCACCAAGAACCTGAGTAGAGCTGGAATTCTCAAAGGGCTGCCCAGTTCTTTGCCCACGGTCCAAAGATGTGTCAAGAGTCCAGGCAGGTTTTTTTCTTAAGAATATATATAGGGACCTCCCTGGTGGCACGGTGGTTAAGAATCCGCCTGCCAATGCAGGGGACACGGGTTTGAGCCCTGGTCCGGGAAGATCCCACATGCCACGGAGCAGCTGAGCCCATGCGCCACCACGACTGAGCCTGCGCTCTAGAACCTGTGAGCCACAGCTACTGAACCTGCATGCCAAAGCTACTGAAGCCCACGTGCCTAGAGCCCGTGCTCCGCAACAAGAGAAGCCACCACAATGAGAAGCCCGCGCGCCGCAACGAAGAGTAGGCCCCGCTCGCCGCAACTAGAGAAAGCCCGTGCGCAGCAACAAAAACCGAACACAACCCCAAAATTAATCAATCAGTCAATCAATCCACTTCTTACCTAAAAAAAAAAAGACTGTATATATATATATATTTTGTTTTTTTGTTTGTTTTTTTTTGTTTTTTGGGGGTACGCGGGCCTCTCACTGCTGTGGCCTCTCCCGTTGTGGAGCACAGGCTCCGGACGCGCAGGCTCAGCGGCCACGGCTCACGGGCCCAGCCGCTCCGCAGCATGTGGGATCTTCCCGGACCGGGGCACGAACCCGTGTCCCCTGCATCGGCAGGCGGACCCCCAACCACTGCACCACCAGGGAAGCCCTATATTTTTTAAAGAATATGTTTATATATTCTTTCTGAGATTCTTCTCCATTATAGGTTATTACAAGATATTGAATACAGTTTCCTGTGTTATACAGTAGTCTTTGTTGTCAGAAAAATCTTTTGTGGGATATTTTTACTACCCATATAGTTTGGAAATCCCAAGCCAAGAATTTAACATAGGAAGTAGGTCTGTACTCTTAAAATTTGGGGGCCATCATGGCACAAACAAATTCAAAGATACCTTGAAGATAAACACATCTTCAACCTGGGGCCCAAGGGATTTCTGTACAGCAGTCCCCACCAGAGACAAACTCACAGAACACTGTGAACACTGGAGAGGGAGAGGCACCATGAGGGAGAGCTCCCGGGCAGGGTCTAGATGCTCAGGATGCAGACGAGCGGCAGACAGCAACCTCAGACCGTGACTTCAGTCGGTGATGTCGACAAAGATTAGTCAGTTGATCTCAGAAAGAAGCGGAGCATTTTATTTGAGCCAGATTTGAGGGTTATAACCCGGAAGAACATCTCAGCGAGCTCCAAGAACCGTTCCTCCCGTTAGAGGTCACGGCACAGTAGCATAAGTTCTTGAGACACAAGGCTGTACGCGAAATGACGTCTTATTGACAGGTCACACAAGCCACGTCTGAGCGTCATCGTGGCCCCATCAAGAAGGAAGGTTATCTCTAAGGCGCTGTCTCGTTGGTGCTGGGAGAACACTGCTCTTCGTGGCTGAGCAGGTGTTCCTGCCGACGGAGGTTTGGTCGATGTAAAATGCAGATACGCCCTGCACAGTAGGGGGGAGAGTGGGGCCAGAGGGCAGAGCAGATGTGCTTATGTTTGAATTGTTCTTGTCTTGCCATAAGATATGAACTTGATTTCACAGTAACAATAGTTAGAAGTGACCAGCTGTACTAAAGCTCGAGCGAGCATCTAGAGGAGCAGTGAGGTGAGTGCATCAGGAGTAGCTGTTGAGACAGAAGATGTTGCAGACGCACT